CAGTGAGGCAATTCCGAGAGAACAATACGTCTTACTAGGATTCATTATTGGCAGACACAATCTTAACAGCATAAGATATACAGATGACACAGTACTGATAACAGACACAGAGAGGAAACTACAAAAGTTTTTACAGGAGGGGTAGCAAAAGAAAGCAAGAAGAAAGGACTAAGGATAAACTACAAGAAGATAGAATGAATGGTTATCAGCAAAAGGATGAATCCGATTACAAATTGGGGATACTAAAATCAAACAAGTATTAAAATTTAAATATCTGGGAAGTGTTCTAACAGAAGATGGAAAGTGTGACACTGAGATCCAAAGACATATTAGAATGGCCAAAGATGCATTCCAAAAGCTAAGCAGAGTATTAAGAGACAGAAAAATTTCATTAGAAACAAAGAAAAGAGTATATGAAATGTCACATTATATCTGTCCTCCTGTAGGCAGTGAATGCTGGACAATCTCCTCAAATATGAAGAGAAATCAAATGTGGTTCTACAGAAAGATGCTGAGAATACCATGAGCCAAACATGTTAGCAACAACAAAGTTTTGGAGAGAATGGAAGCAAAGAGGTAACTTATACTTAACATCACAAAGAGGCAGTTGAAGTTTTTGGAGCATGTAATGAGGAAGGAGGGCTTGGAAAATCTGATACTCACAGGATAGATAGAGGGAAAGAGGGACAGAGGAAAGCAGCATGTAACATACTTGATGGATAGCGGAACAGTTTTTGGGAGAAATAACAAAAAGACAAAACATTAAGAGCAGACACGGCCCATAAAAGTATTATTACTGACTAGTGAGGTCGATCCTCACTAGGTGTCCCAAACAAATTATTCAGCATTAAATAACCCTGCCAAAGTTGATACGTCGTAAAATCAACCAAACCCTTGTTATGGAATAATTTAAAGAGTATTGTCTGAATGGCCATTACTACGGAGTAATGATTTCAATCCTCACTAGGTGTTCCATACAAAATATTGGCATCAAATAACCCCGAAGAAGTTGAGATTTTATAAAATCAACCATTACATTAGGTACCTGGAGCAAATGAGGGTGATTCAACTCCGTGGAAGTGCAATGACATGTCCAAACAGCTGTAAAAGTCTGAACTGGTGAAACTAAATGCAGCTCATATGAACATTTGCAATAGAATAGTGATAAGCTTGAAACATTGCCTCTATAGGAAAGAGAGAGAGAGAGAGACAAACATTCAGATCATATACTTTGAAGAGGACAGAAAATGGTTCACTGAAACATTTTGATAACAACAAAACGAATGAATTCCATTGTGCAAACAACTCCAGGATTTATAATGACTCCTCTCAAAATAATAGAAGGAATCTATGATGAAGTCCTACTTAGATAACAAACTAAAAAATGATAGTAAAAGTTTCAATTTGCACTGGTTCAGAAAAGATAATTAAAAATAAAAAAAATAAAAATAAAAAAGTAGAAAAATTAAATCTGGCAATGAATAACTAGAGATATCACTTACAGAGTTTAACATTTCACCAAAGTTAAAAAAAAAACAAAAAAAAAAAAAAAAAAACAACATAAGTCTTTAAGTGAAAAATTAAAAAAAAAAGAAAATTAAAATATTACATCAAATTTATTTTCACAACACTCGTGTCGTAAATAATGCTAGCAGATAAGATAAATTACCAATAAAAGAAGCAAAATATTTAAAAATCTCATAATTGAACCTAATGCTTCTATTATTCCATTTTGCGGCTAATGTGAATCCGAAAAATAAGGAAAACAAATTAATAGGCTAATGCATAACAGAAAATAGTAGCAATCTATACTTACTAAGAGGAAGAAAGAAAACAAAACAAACAAAAAAAAAAACATGGGTCAAATATTTAAAATATTAGGAGAGGAAAACATTCAGAGATTTACTTGGACAAGTGTCATCTAAGTTGTTATTGTCACAAAGTCTTAGTGATTATATCCCTGGGCCTTCTTCCGATACGTCTGGAAATTTTAGTTTAAGAGGCAGACAAGCAACATTAGGTTTCACACTTCATTGTCTTAGTGGATAAAAGTGTTGACTAAGCAGATAGAGTTAACTGGCAGTGGTGAGTTCAATCCCTGCATTGAGAAGGTGAAAATATCCTTTATTCTTAGTGGAAGTGACAAGTGCCTCACAAGGAAAACATGACTCCTATCTCTCTATTTGTCTCTTTCTCTCTGTGTGTGCGTGTATATATTTTGTGTATTTAAGCAGCCATTCATTTATACATGTTTCATTAAAAACGACAGACAAGGTACTGTGATTAAGCTTTTTAATTAATTTTTCTTGTGTTTGAAAAGGTGTTTTTCTTTTCTGGACACAGTGCTTAGAAACTATCCAAATGTTCTGTAATTCTGAGCACTTTCAGCTATACTTTTAGCCATTATCAAGGATGATTTTATTTTTGCTTTTTAATTGGGTGTATGGATTGTGTGTATGTGTTCGGAAAATAAAACTCAAAAAACATTCACACAATCCAGACACCCAATTAAAAAGCAAAAATAAAATCATCCTTGATAATGGCTAAAAGTATAGCCAAAAGCGTCCAGACAGTTTCTACACACTCTGTATCCAAAAAAGAAAACACTTGTTCCATCACAAAAAAAATTAAATAAAAAGCTTAATTGTAGTACCTTGTCTGTCATCTTTAATGAAATGTGTGTGTGTGTGTGTGTGTGTATATATATATATATATATATATATATATATATATATATATTAAAATCAATTCACTCCAAGCAAGGTGATAATGCCACTAAGATTGCAAGAGAATAAGACAATTTTAGAAGGCATTAGAAACTCAATCCTAAACCTGAAGAAATGGATATAGCTCTACTCCTGTTCAATATGCCAAGGAGGAGTGTGAACTAGACAATAAATAGGGATATCTACTCCTATTGAAGGAATAAGAAACAAATAAATAGTAAATAAAATTTCATAGTTTAGGCAGAGACGTTAGAAGCATAGAGCTGAAATATGAAATATCTTCTATATACAACAGAATGCAAACAATCCACCATGCAGATTGAATAAAAGGCTTGGTTCAAATATTCCCAGAAAATTATTAGCTCTCTGACAAGCAATATGGTTTCTGCTTTGCCCATTCTACAGCTGATGTGCTTACGGCCATCACTGAAATTGTTTACCAAGCTCTTCATAATAATGGAGAAGCTTGTACCGTGGTTCTAGATATCTCCAAAGCATTTGATAGGGTTTGGCATGCCGGCCTTCTTCACAAGTTTCAAGATTATGGAATTTCAGGTCAATTGTTTAAATTAATACATTCATTCCTGTCAAACTGTGTATTGAAGGTTGTTCTCAATGGATTCTACTCCAGCTCCTATCCCACGAACGCAAGTGTTCCCCAAGGCTCCATCCTAGGCCCTACTCTGTTCTTTATCTTCATCAACGATCTTCCTGATGTCATAGATTCCCAAGTAGTCATCTATGCAGACGAAACTACAATTTACTCCTGTCTCAAAAACAAATCTAGTGTTGTTGACAAAACGAAACCAGGCCATTCGTCTCGAAAAGGACCTCCAATCAGTTGTGAACAGGAGCAGGAATTGGCTAGTTAACTTTAACGTCTCAAAAACAAAACTGCTCTCTATTACTCACCACAGAGAACCATCCCTGCCCCCATTAGAATGTCTGATGCTCAACTTCGCAAGAGCTCCTCTTTGCGACTACTTGGCCTCAGATTGACTGCTGACCTGAGATGGAACAAATACATTAAGTCAATAGCTTCGTCCACCACAAGGAAAGTTGGCTCCCTGTGCCTCACTAGGAAATTTTTCTTGCCAGAGTCGATCCTTTAAACCTACAAATCAATCATTCGCCCTTGCATGGAGTATTGCTGCCATATATGGTCTGGAGCCTCTTCTGTTTGTCTCAAGGTTCTTGATAAGATCAAGAGACGGATATGCAATGTAATTGGCCCTGATCTGGCACCTTGTCTGCAATCACGCTCTCACAGACATGGCGTCGCCTCCCTCTGTCTTTTTTACAAATACTTTTATGGTAACTGCTCTGATGAGCTGCTTTCGCTGGTTCCCAAACGTCATGAATTTAGGCTGGCATCTCGCTCACACCCTTTCACTGTCAAAACTGTTAAATGTAGCCATCTCTTCTACTCCAATAGCTTCATGTCTCGCACCTCTTGCCTATGGAACTCTCTCCCCTCTTCCTGTTTCCCTGATAGCTATAATCTCCAACTATTCGATGTCTCCAGATGTCCTGATCTATCTCCCAGCCTTCTCTTCATCTTTTCCTCTATCACTCCTATTTGCTCTAGCTCCAACTCTCTTACATGCTAAAAAAAAAAAAAAAAAAAAAAAAAAGAGAGAGAGAAAAAGACACCTGAAGAAGGCTGGTGGGTATAACAGCTGAAACATTGTGACTATAACAACCAAGATGAGGACACCAGTCTAAAATCAATGCATAATAATAATGTAAAAAAATTTAGTGATTTGAAAAACAATTTATACACACAAAAAAACTGATTCCTATAAAAACAATATCAGGAAAATTTTAGAAGGAGAAAAAAAATTCTGTTATATTTTAACACTAACTGTATTTTGAGCCTGGTCCATAGAGGCAAGGTTTCAGCTTTGTTTTTTTTTTCTTTTTTTTTTTTACCAGTAGTCATAAATGTTTCTCCTACTCAACTGCTTGCTTACTTGGAGACATTTTCTAGTCATTAGAAAAGAATTTGATGATTAAACACTGAATTTTACTATTCTTTTCTAACTTATAATTTAGGCAAGGAAAGTTCAGCATACAAATCAAAGAAATTAAGAAGAAATCAACTGTTGAGTGGCCATTAATTAAAGCCAATATTACTGATAATATATAGAAGCATTATATCAATAGTATTTTTGTTATTTCCTTTTTAATAGGTGAAGCATTATTAATGATTATTATTAATTTTCATAAATATTTACATTAATCTGCATTTGTTATGAAATAAAACATTGTCAACTATTGCTGAATAAAGAAAAAGAAAAAAAAAGAAAAAAGAAATGAAAGAAAAAAGAAAAAGAAAAGAGAAAGGAAAGAAAAGAGAGAGAGAGAAAAGAGAGAGAGAGAAAAGAGAGAGAGAGAAAAGAGAGAGAGAGAAAAGAGAGAGAGAGAAAAGAGAGAGAGAGAAAAGAGAGAAAAGAAAGTGAGAAAGAGAGATGAAAAGAGAGAATGAATGAGAAAGGGAGATGAAAAGAGAGAATGAATGAGAAAGAGAGATGAAAAGAGAGAATGAATGAGAAAGAGAGATGAAAAAGAGAATGAATGAGAAAAGAGAGATGAAAAGAGAGAATGAATGAGAAAGAGATGAAAAGAGAGAATGAATGAGAAAGAGAGATGAAAAGAGAGAATAAATGAGAAAGAGAGATGAAAAGAGAGAATGAATGAGAAAAAGAGATGAAAAGAGAGAATGAATGAGAAAGAGAGATGAAAAGAGAGAATGAATGAGAAAGAGAGATGAAAAGAGAGAATGAATGAGAAAGAGAGATGAAAAGAGAGAATGAATGAGAAAGAGAGATGAAAAGAGAGAATGAATGAGAAAGAGATGAAAAGAGAGAATGAATGAGAAAGAGATGAAAAGAGAGAATGAATGAGAAAGAGAGATGAAAAGAGAGAATGAATGAGAAAGAGATAGATAAAGAAAGAAAAAGACAGAGAGAAAGAAAAAGACAGAGAAAGAGAAAGAACAAGAGAAAGAAAGAAAGAAAAAGGAAGAGAGAGAAAAGAAGAGAGAGTGAAAGAAAGAGAGAAGGTAAAGAAATAAAAGAAATGAAAGAAAAAGAAAATAAGAAACATAAGGAAGAAAAATTCAATGAATATTGCTTTGTTATTATTAATTTTTGCTGATATTTACAATCAATTCCATTTTTTCTTCTTACTTACTTTTTTATTAGAGGCCATCAAGATATATTGAACAGACAGCATAGACTGGAAAAATAAAGGATCTCTGATGAGAGATTTAAACTTGCGTCCCTTTTACCTCAGGGAAACATTGTTGAATGCACCAAAAAGTTATGAGAACTCGGCAGCTTTACAGAAGAACAACTTTAAACTATGATCCAAAATTTCATTCCAAAATCTCTCTTGGCACCAATATTTGTATTGTTTTTCATACTAGCCATATTAATGGCAATGGTATTGTTTTTCCATATTTAGTTCAACCAGGATTCCCTGAAGCAAAAATGGACAAAAGTTCAAACTTCACCAAGAGAGCATATTCTTTCACTTTTCTAATCCGCACTATCCAATCATTGGCATAGATTAAAAACCCAAATAAAAGGATCATAAAAAGAAAATAACAAAATTCTAGATAAAAGTATGCATTAGTCAAAATTACTAAAAATGTAAAGACAAAACAAATAATTTTAATAATGTAGCTTCCCTGTGCCTTTTCTATAAATACTTTCATGTTAATTGTTCTGATGGACTTTCTTCTTTGATACCTAGTCTTTATGAAGTCCAATACTAGATTAGTTGGCAAGATCTCATCATTTTACAATTGAAATAGCAACATGTAGCCATAAGTTCTATGCTAACAGTTTCTTCTATCACACCTCTCAGTTGTGGAACTCTCTTCCGGCTTCTTACTTCCCAATTAACTTTGATCTTAAAAAATTTAAATGCAATGACAATCGTTATCTACTGTCTTCTTAATTTTTGTCCTTCGAATGGTCACTCTTCTTAAAAGTATTTTTTTTCTCATATTCTCTAACACTCAGTAACCACCTTGCATCTTAGTGACTTTATTGCCTTGATTGGGGTGAAATGAAGAATCACTGAGAAATTGGTTATTGGCACGAAAGTAAAACCAGCAAGCAGAGTTCAAATCCGAGCCTATGCTGCAATGTTTGTTTTTTTGCATAAGTGCCTTTGGAAAAGGGCATAACTCCACATCTTCTCCCATTCCCCAAACTCATAGTTAAATATGAAATATTTCCAACTCTGCAACCCCCATGCCACAGATAAAACATTGCTAACCACTCACTACTCTATCATTATTACGATGGCAAATGTTCAAATGAGCTACATTCCTTAGTTCTCCCAGTTCAGACCTTCACAGTTACGATCTGCCATGCCATGTGCACAATGGCAAATCATCCTCAAACCTTTCGCCTTCCTTTGGTAAGGATTAAGTTTCACTAAAACAACTTCTTCTCTAGAACTGTTACTTTGTAGAACAGACACCCAATAGGATGCTTCCCCAACTACAACTCGTCCTGGGTAAGACGATAAACTACATCCAGCAGTAAGGCCTCTGATCAGGAGGTTTTGAGGAGCGTGGAACCACTTCTTAATTGCTGTTGTTTTCAGGTCCACCCTGACCCAGGGTGGTAGCACCTGTTAGGATCCCAGCTATGGGCAAATAGTTAACTATTACCAGCAATACTTTTTTGAAAAAAATCATTACCAGCGATACAATTTTGAAGGAAATATATTACCAGAAACAGATTTTTGACAAAACAAAATATTACCAGCAATAAAAAATTTTGTCAGCATTAAATAACCTATTGAGGTTGATATGCTGTAAAACAAAATAAATCAAACCAAACCACAACATTTTCAAGTTTATTGTCAACTGATGCCTACCCTATATATCCTCATAATAGGCATCCTTTTCTCCTCCCTTATAACACTCTCACTTAGTGACCCTCTACCTTGAGTGGCCCTTGGGTTTTATATTGAATGAACTAAAATAAAAAAATAAAATAAGAAAAAGGACTAGGTCTTGGGTGGCAGCTAGTTTAGAAGGACAATTCTGGATTCAAAACCATCAAGAAAGCAAGAGCAAATCAATCCACTGCCTTTGGTAAGAAGAGTTATCTGATCTAACATTATCCTGATGTAATGTCTTTTTCAAATTAATCCCAAATGATTTTTGCTAATTGCTGCCTACAACCGATCAAACTGGGAACAATACTTGTTCAGATCAATCATTTACTTCTCCAGAAAAAATAGTGAGCTCTTCCATTGTCATTATACAGGAGATCCATAAAGTCTCTTTGCAATTTAAAAAATATATTACAAAGGCAACTGATGCAGCACCGCAACTACATGATCTTCAACCAACCATCATTTTCCAGCAAGATGGTGCACTGCCACATTGGGGGTTGCCTGTTTGTGGGTTCCTAAATCAAACATTTCTAGGCCAGTGGACTGGAAGGGATTTTTCTGGACTGCTTTCTATGTGGTTTATGTTAAAGATATCATTTATCAAACAAAGATACGGGACATCACTGATCTAAAGCAAGAGATCACTGATGCCATTGCCACCATTCATGAGGCTATGCAACAGCAAACATGGCAAGAAATGTCTTGATGTGCTTTATGCAACTAACGTTGCCTAAATAGAGGTGGATTAAATTAGTTAAAAAAAATCAACTTCAATATCTACTCCTCATCTTGTAACAATTTACACATATTTGTTTGTTCATTTGCTTTTGTAGTAATTTTTTTAAATTGTAAAGAGACTTTATGAACACCATATATATATATATATATATATATATATATATATATATATCCTGTATTGTGTATTCTTTTTAAATAATAAAAATATAAGAATACTTCAGTGACTATACTGAATGTCTTGAATCACATTCATCTTTTCACAAACCTCTCTATACCCAGTCTTTTCTCTCACTTTTACTCTCTGTAATCCCCTTACATACTAGTGGCATTCCCACCTTGTTTGGGGTGAAATGATTAAAAAAATAGTCATTGAAATATTACCTAGTTTATCCACTAATTTGAAAAATCATAAATATATATAACATTATTTTCAATATTCTATAATGTTGAAAAATTCAATTTCAAGCACCTAAAGAAATGTGTACATATACACATACAAAGAATGAATTATATATTCCCCATGAAATCCAATCTTTTATTAAAATTGCAAGTGCGCCTCAGAGTTTTAGTTATTCTACAAGTGTAAATAAATAAAAACTAAGTACAGATAACTCTGTAAAAGTCAGAGATCAATTTGACATTGTATCGATATTATGAATAGGACCTCCCTTCTTAAATGACAATAAAAAAGATCAATTCTTACAAACATCGCTACTTGAAAAAGGTCTACAAAATGCTAATGTACTAATGTCCATAAAGTCTCTTTACAATTTAAAAATATATTACAAAGGCAACTGATGCAGCACCACAACTAGATGACGTTCAACCAACCATCATTTTCCAGCAAGATGGTGCACCACCATATTGGGGGTTGCATGTTTGTGGGTTCCTCAATCAAACATTTCCAGACCAGTGGACTGGAAGGGATCGCCCAATTCCCTGGCCACCTCGTTTATCAGATATCTCTCCCCTAGACTTCTTTCTATGGAGTTATGCTAAAGATACTGTGTATCGAACAAAGGTGCAAAAGATCACTAATGCCATTTCTACCATTGACGAGGCTATGCCACAGCAAACATGGCAAGAAATCAAGTACCATCTTGATGTGCTTCGTGCAACTAATGGTGCCTATATAGAGGTGGATTGAATTAGTAAAAAAAAAAAAATTCAATAACGACTCTTCATTTTGTAGCAATTTCCACATATTTGTCCATTTGCTTTTGTAATAAATTTTTTAAATTGTAAAGAGACTTTATGGACACCATATATATGTGTGTGTGTGTGTGTGTGTGTGTGTGTGTGTGCGCGTGAACAAATAAACAACGCTATAAAATAGCTACAAATAAACACATTTGGGTCCACAGTTATTCCTACCCAATAGCCTATAGAATAATTTCAAACAACCATTATTGTCTACACAATAATTGTTATTTGTTGATTGATTCATTTTTTACTGTTTATCAACCTGTTGCAAGTTATTTAAAGCCAGAAAATATTTTTAGATTGGAAGAATTTTTTTTAGATAAGAAGAATTTAGCAATACAATTCTAATTAATCCATAGATGCAGGGAGAAAAGGCGAATTCATACTTTTCCCAAGGATATTTGCGTGTAAGTGGATATAACAAACCCAATGGGAATTGGAACTTCAGTTTGTTGCATTTCACTTAAATTGCTCCACAATCTCTTTTCATCAAAGAAAAAGAAATAAAATAAACTGTAAAATATTTATAAAAGTCACAACTTTAAATCAACTAACATAACCAAAATTATTTTCAATATTTTATCAACATATTTCAAGCATTGAGACACAATTTTACACATCATGCATTGTCATCATTTGATTGCTATCAACATTAACTGGTCCATCAAAGCATGGAGCATTGTACAGCAAGAAATTGTTAGCATCACACTATACAAACAACTTTTGACACATTTGATTAATAACATTCCCTTCTACTGCACAAAATCATTTTTTGCATCTAAATATACCAATGATATTACTTCTTTCCTTCCATCTACAACGTTAGACTCAAACAAAAAATAAGTTAATTTCAATAAATCTTTCAAAATTTACTGATATTGCAGCTGTCATAAAATAATGAAAAGTGTTCTTTAAGACTTAACACTCCTAATGCCATCTAGTGACAAAGAAAAAAACTTTTTGGCAAACTCAATAAGTCAGTTCTAAAAAGTATTCTTTCATTTGATCAATTATATCATTTTTTTTTTAATTCACCTAAATTTTTTTCTTGCCTAAAAATGTTCTTTTCAAATTATTTAATGTCTAACATTTACAACCAATGAACAGAAAACAAATAATGTTCTTTTAACCTTTAACAACACGTTGCATGGCCACATTGCTGAAACTTATTAGAATGAACACCTCTGCCGGGTCTCCAGCTATTTTATTATTATTCAAGCACAGCTAAAAACGGCTAGCAACAA